GGACATTGGTAGATGTTGGAGGTAGAGTGGACATTGGTAGATGTTGGAGGTAAAGTGGACATTGGTAGATGTTGGAGGTAGAGTGGACATTGGTAGATGTTGGAGGTAGATTAGACATAAGTAGATGTTGGAAGTAGAGTGGACATTGGTAGATGTTGGAGGTAGAGTGGACATTACAAGATGTAGGAGGTAGAGTGGACATTGGTAGATGTTGGAGGTAGAGTGGACATTGGTAGATGTTGGAGGTAGAGTGGACATTGGTAGATGTTGGAGGTAGAGCGGACATTGGTAGATGTTTGAGGTAGAGTGGACATCAGTAGATGTTGGAGGTAGAGTGGACATCAGTAGATGTTGGAGGTAGAGTGGACATTGGTAGATGTTGGAGGTAGAGTGGACATTGGTAGATGTTGGAGGTAGAGTGGACATTGGTAGATGTTGGAGGTAGAGTGGACATTACAAGATGTTGGAGGTAGAGTGGACATAGGTAGATGTTGGAGGTAGAGTGGACATTGGTAGATGTTGGAGGTAGAGTGGACATTGGTAGATGTTGGAGGTAGAGTGAACATTGGTAGATGTTGGAGGTAGAGTGGACATTGGTAGATGTTGGAGGTAGAGTGGACATTGGTAGATGTTGAGGGTAAAGTGGACATCAGACGATGTTGGAGGTAAAGTGGACATTGGTAGATGTTGGAGGTAGAGTGGACATTGGTAGATGTTGGAGGTAGAGTGGACATTGGTAGATGTTGGAGGTAGAGTGGACATTAGAAGATGTTGGAGGTAGAGTGGACATTGGTAGATGCTGGAGGTAGAGTGGACATTGGTAGATGTGGGAGGTAGAGTGGACATTGGTAGATGTTGGAGGTAGAGTGGACATTGGTAGATGTTGGAGGTAGAGTGGACATTGGTAGATGTTGGAGGTAGAGTGGACATTGGTAGATGTTGGAGGTAGAGTGGACATTGGTAGATGTTGGAGGTAAAGTGGACATTGGTAGATGTTGAGGGTAAAGTGGACATCAGAAGATGTTGGAGGTAAAGTGGACATTGGTAGATGTTGGAGGTAGAGTGGACATTGGTAGATGTTGGAGGTAAAGTGGTCATTGGTAGATGTTGAGGGTAAAGTGGACATCAGAAGATGTTGGAGGTAAAGTGGACATTGGTAGATGTTGGAGGTAGAGTGGACATTGGTAGATGTTGGAGGTAGAGTGGACATTGGTAGATGCTGGAGGTAGAGTGGACATTGGTAGAAGTTGGAGATAGAGTGGACATTGGTAGATGTTGGAGGTAGAGTGGACATTAGAAGATGTAGGAGGTAGAGTGGACATTGGTAGATGTTGGAGGTAGAGTGGACATTGGTAGATGTTGGAGGTAGAGTGGACATCAGAAGATGTTGGAGGTAGAGTGGACATTGGTAGATGTTGGATGTAGAGTGGACATCAGAAGATGTTGGAGGTAGAGTGGACATTGGTAGATGTTGGAGGTAGAGTGGACATTGGTAGATGTTGGAGGTAGAGTGGACATCAGAAGATGTTGGAGGTAGAGTGGACATCAGAAGATGTTGGAGGTAGAGTGGACATTGGTAGATGTTGGAGGTAAAGTGGACATTGGTAGATGTTGGAGGTAAAATGGACATTGGTAGATGTTGGAGGTAAAGTGGACATTGGTAGATGTTGGAGGTAGAGTGGACATTGGTAGATGTTGGAGGTAGAGTGGACATTGGTGGATGTTGGAGGTAGAGTGGACATTGGTAGATGCTGGAGGTAGAGTGGACATTGGTGGATGTTGGAGGTAAAGTGGACATTGGTGGATGTTGGAGGTAGAGTGGACATTGGTAGATGTTGGAGGTAGAGTGGACATTGGTGGATGTTGGAGGTAGAGTGGACATTGGTAGATGTTGGAGGTAGAGTGGACATCAGAAGATGTTGGAGGTAGAGTGGTCATTGGTAGATGTTGGAGGTAGAGTGGACATCAGAAGATGTTGGAGGTAGAGTGGACATCAGAAGATGTTGGAGGTAGAGTGGACATTGGTAGATGTTGGAGGTAGAGTGGACATTGGTAGATGTTGGAGGTAAAGTGGACATTGGTAGATGTTGGAGGTAAAATGGACATTGGTAGATGTTGGAGGTAAAGTGGACATTGGTAGATGTTGGAGGTAGAGTGGACATTGGTAGATGTTGGAGGTAGAGTGGACATTGGTAGATGTTGGAGGTAGAGTGGACATTGGTGGATGTTGGAGGTAGAGTGGACATTGGTAGATGTTGGAGGTAGAATGGACATCAGAAGATGTTGGAGGTAGAGTGGACATTGGTAGATGTTGGAGGTAGAGTGGACATTGGTAGATGTTGGAGGTAGAGTGGACATTGGTAGATGTTGGAGGTAGAGTGGACATTGGTAGATGTTGGAGGTAGAGTGGACATTGGTAGATGTTGGAGGTAGAATGGACATCAGAAGATGTTGGAGGTAGAGTGGACATCAGAAGATGTTGGAGGTAGAGTGGACATTGGTAGATGTTGGAGGTAGAGTGGACATTGGTGGATGTTGGAGGTAGAGTGGACATTGGTAGATGTTGGAGGTAGAATGGACATCAGAAGATGTTGGAGGTAGAGTGGACATTGGTAGATGTTGGAGGTAGAGTGGACATTGGTAGATGTTGGAGGTAGAGTGGACATTGGTAGATGTTGGAGGTAGAGTGGACATTGGTAGATGTTGGAGGTAGAGTGGACATTGGTAGATGTTGGAGGTAGAGTGGACATTGGTGGATGTTGGAGGTAGAGTGGACATTGGTAGATGTTGGAGGTAGAATGGACATCAGAAGATGTTGGAGGTAGAGTGGACATTGGTAGATGTTGGAGGTAGAGTGGACATTGGTAGATGTTGGAGGTAGAGTGGACATTGGTAGATGTTGGAGGTAGAGTGGACATTGGTAGATGTTGGAGGTAGAGTGGACATTGGTAGATGTTGGAGGTAGAATGGACATCAGAAGATGTTGGAGGTAGAGTGGACATTGGTAGATGTTGGAGGTAGAGTGGACATTGGTAGATGTTGGAGGTAGAGTGGACATTGGTAGATGTTGGAGGTAGAGTGGACATTGGTAGATGTTGGAGGTAGAGTGGACATTGGTAGATGTTGGAGGTAGAGTGGACATCAGAAGATGTTGGAGGTAGAGTGGACATTGGTAGATGTTGGAGGTAGAGTGGTAATTGGTAGATGTTGGAGGTAGAATGGACATTGAAGGTAGAGTGGACATCAGAAGATGTTGGAGGTAGAGTGGACATCAGAAGATGTTTGATGTAAAGTGGACATGAGAAGATGTTGGAGTGTGTTTGTGTGATTTCAAAAGATTTAATCAACGTTGTAACACGTCTAAAACCAATCTCCAACTAAAACGGTCGCCCGTAAAACTTTGGCCTGTCTTGTCTCCACCACCTGTCCCCACTCAATGTCTTTGTTTCCATCACGTATTGTTTGTTCAAGGATGAATCACATTCAACACACAGTTTCGGTAGGCGGTAAACTGTTACCAACGTTTATTTTCTCAAATTCTAAATTCGTTTAAATATGATTAAAGTTAATTTTGTCAGATTTCTATTTTAGTTAAATTAAAACCAAAGTTTATTTTGTCTGAAATTTATCTATAACTAAAATTTATTGAAGATACATTTTGCTAAATTTAAGGCCTATATAGTAGTTTAATTATAACCAAAGTTTATTACAATATTAAATACAATTATTCTCTAGTGTTTTAAAGTTAATATTTTTGTTAAAACATTAATTTATTTTTTTACCAGGTCGCTTTGTTGGGCCAGTAATTTCACCATTCAATCTCAAGGTTTGTTAGTTCAGTAATTTCATTATTTAATCTCAAGGTTTGCGTGTGATGAAAATACCCCCTCCTCTCCCACCTCTTGCCACCTGAAAGCTAACCTAACCTTGCGGGTGGTGGAGTTCACTAAACAATGCGTGCCCTTTAGAAAAGTTAAACGTTTTCCTGTGCACGCAGTTACCTATTCAGATGTCGGGGGGGGGGGAAGATTTTTATACAACCGTCTTTTCAAACTTACTTTCTCCTATAGCGGTGCCTAATATGTCTAATATATATGGATGCAGAAAGTTTAAAAAATCAACAACAGATTAATTTAAATGTAATGGACAGTGTTATTGGTCATTGTGAAAAATTTCGATATTCCATTCGTTTGATTAACACTGTATCCTAGGGACGATAACTCTGGTTGGAACATGAAGGAAAGAGACAGATTGCTGCCAGAGACATCAAGCGTTGGATGTGTACACAAATACGGTCTTAAAGATCCACGAAGGGAGGTCATCCACATGTTGTTATCACCCTATTGATTTCATAATAAAAACATGATTTCGACCGACTGAGTTGCGTACATCTCTATAGAATCTAGTGTTTACTTGTCTGCCCTTTGTTACAGTGGCTGAGAAACAGGGGCGGCTCTAGCTGGGGGTGGGGTGGGGGTGAGGGGGGTCTATTTAATGTTGAGTCCAGTTACGTCGCACACCACTGACCGTAAACTTTGAAAACTTGACTTTTTTTAATAGCACGCAAAGTTTTAACTTATAAATTATACCGCACACAAAGTTTTAACTAATAAATCATATAGCACGCAAAGTTTTAACTTACAAATATAGTGCAGGCAAGTTATACATAACTTATACGGCAGACAAAGTTTAATTTAAACTAACAAATATATGTCGGGCAAAAATTAAACTAAAAATCATATAGCAGGCAAAGTAAACAGTTAACAGTCATACTTCACTGTCCCCAGCCCCTACCGTTAGCGTACAGTAGCTGCTGATGAAGAATCAGTGAGCGATACTCACACGTGTTTTACACGTCAGAAGTTCAATACACAAACGAATGGTATATATAACCGAGTACTTTAGGCAGACTGCTAAAACCCACCCAGATGTACCGCATGATACAATTCGTGTGGAGACGCCCCTGGTGTCTCCTATATCTGACGTCAGCCACTATGTATCCGTCTTATAAACTGTCACCGTCAGCTTAAGGCATCTGACACCCACAGAAAAACGGTAAGAAATTTTATTGATACTCTAGTTCTAAACAGACAGATCTTTTAGCTTTTTAATATATTTTTTCCAATTAAAAAAACTTATCTAACTATAAAAGATTTGATATAAATAAATCCTAAGTAAAATTTATAGCACGCATCAACCAATGATCTTTCTGTGTAATCTAAATACCTACAGAATTTTGAGATATAAAATGTATAATCAAATTACAAAATTTTGACAGATTTTATAAACGTACATAAAGCGATATGGGATGTTCCCGTGACATTTGTTGATAGTGTTTTAGACAGTGTTTCTTCCAGAGTTTTTTCTCCGGAGTGGGCACTTAAAATTTTCGGGGGGGGGGGGGCGGTAAACTTTCTTCGGGGGGCGGACACTGTTAAAAGTATATACTTTCTATATAAATTATATAAATTTCATTTCGTTCGGGGGGGGGGGGCGGTAAAATTTTTTCGGGGGGGGGGCTTTAGAAAGAAGGAAAATAATTATTTCAGTTCTAAAATCTAAGTTTACATCTGAGATGTGAAGGCCTACTTGTTTTATAACATGTTTGTTCGTACTTCCCCCAGCCTCAAGAATGGCCCACGTCAGCTGTCTGACGCCAGTTTTTCTACTGCTGCTAGCGCCACTACTAGACTGCTACATCTACCCGCTACCAAACCTGGTCGTCCCTTACCAGCCCGCTGGGAGCCTCGGTCTGATCTACGAACTGGTCCGCACCCCTTATGGCAACTACATTCGTGTGGTCACCAACACTAGACCAACCCCGCCGCCAACCCCTCCCCCACCTCCTCCCCCTCCTCCCCCTGTAATAGCCCCCTCTGTATTTTTCTCCTGTGTCAACGACATCCCCATGAAGCTCTACAGCTCCTTCCTGTGCGGCTTGTACACCCAGCCCGTGTACTTTGGCAGACGTCAAGTCCAGAGTTCTCCCATTGAGTTTCTGGAGCGTCTAGATCGTCTGGACAAATGGCTCAATTCGCAGCTACAAGCAGCGGCGTTTTTTTCTTTTAGAAGTACGGACAGCGAAGATTCGGCCACAAGAGAGAAAAGACTGACCTTCCTCGAATTATTGCAGTACCTCACAGGAAATAATCTAATCCCATATTACCCCGTCTATTCCACAACTTCTAAACCCAAGTCTCTAGACCCAGAACAGGCGTCTAAAAACATCGCCGCCATTTTAAAGTCGTTGAGGACTCAGCTCCTTGCAGGATTCACAACCACACAGTTGGATGAACTTCGTCTTATATTGACCTCTAGCCTCACTGTAGATGACCTTGAACATGTAGCTGCCGCTATTTTTGGCAGCAAAACGTATTTAGCTGAAGATGCCTCAGCCACTGTGCAGCCCTTCTATGCTGAGTCACCAGATTCGTCGTCCCAAAATCTGAATGAAAAAGATAAAAAACGACTCTTGGTCGATGTGGTTCTCTCGGCAAACGGACGAGCCGCATGCGCGGAGTGTGAGATCAACTTCGAAACTTCAAACGAAATGGCCACGGTGTTGTTCAGAAATGTCCTCCCGAAACATTTATCCGGGGAGAAAATGGAAGCCGCGATCTCAGCCATGATGTTTGTAAGCTCAGCAAACCTGACGTCCAATGATACGACAGTCATCTTCCAAAATATGGTCCACGGTAAATATTGATAATTTGATCAAGATTTTGAATTATTATTTAAAAAAAAACGATGACTGGATAAATGTGAGGGTAGTCAAACACGGGGTGTAGGCTAGAAATGTGGGGGTAGTCAAGCCGTGAGGTGTAGGCTACAAATGTGGGGGTAGTCAAGCCGTGAGGTGTAGGCTACAAATGTGGGGGTAGTCAAGCCGTGAGGTGTAGGCTACAAATGTGGGGGTAGTCAAGCCGTGAGGTGTAGGCTAGAAATGTGGGGGTAGTCAAGCCGTGAGGTGTAGGCTACAAATGTGGGGGTAGTCAAGCCGTGAGGTGTAGGCTACAAATGTGGGGGTAGTCAAGCCGTGAGGTGTAGGCTACAAATGTGGGGGTAGTCCAGCCGCTGGGTGTAGGCTACAAATGTGGGGGTAGTCAATTAAGACCACCAAGAAAAGAGCTGACCACAGTAGAGAACAATCCTACTGATGAATGCTTTACACAGGTATAGAGAAAATAGTTAGGTGAGAGTTTGTAAGAAAACATAGAAAACGTATTTTATTCACCTTCAAAAAAATGATTTAGGCACCACTCATCGAAAACAATTTACTGTATTGTGTTGCGGTGTTTTGTTGTGATGTTATGTTGTGATGTGATGTTTAGTTGTGATGTTTTGTTTGATGGTTTGTTATGATGTTTTGTTGTGGTGTTTTGTTGTTGTGGTGTTTGTTTGATGGTTTGTTATGATGTTTTGTTATGATGTTTTGTTATGATGCTTAGTTGTGATGTTTTAAATTTTTTATCTCACCCTATGCTTCTCCAAAGTTGAAAATGTTTCCTTCTCCTCAGACATTATGACGTCAGATCCTAACCAAAGCTCCGGGACTGTACAAGCGACCAAGAGAAGGCGATACCTTTACTGTAAGTATGGCTGTTTGTAGGGTTTGAACTCAACTGGTTGTCAACCGTTCTATGCCCATCACTCCCGTTTGATAAAATTAGTTATGTCAACTGGCAAAACTTGGACTGACTTGGCGAGCTAACTAGAAAGTTGCAGGATACTAGTAGAAATGTAAAAAAATTTTATTTAACGACTTTGTGTGTCTTGAGCACCGTCGAGAAAAGTTAATCGGGATTAGTTTTTAATATTACAAAATTACTTATGTTTGATGGTGTGCTTCCATTTTGTCTAACACTTGTATCTTTTGATGTACTTCCATGTGTGCTGACTGTCCACTTCCATGTATGCTGACTGCCCACTTCCGTGTGGCCTGACTGCCCACTTCCCTGTGGCCTGACTGTCCACTTCCCTGTGGCCTGACTGTCCACGATGAACAGACCAGCCCAAGTTTGACCAGGAAATCCTGTGTTATGTGCTGAACAACTACATTCAAGGTTCCCGCTACTGTGGTGTCAGAACTTCCGCTAGGTGAGATACCGAGGATTCTGGGTAAAATTCACATGACGTAATCAGTAACGACATGTGTGACCCCAACCCTCCCACTTCTCCACATTTCTGGCCATTCCGAAATATAAAAACATTTTGCCGTGTTATATGATACATTTACATAACACTATATCCCAGGATAAAAAAAAATATTTTTGACATAATGCCTCAAGCTATACGACGACAAAATGCCTCTAGACAAAAGGTCTCTAAAATAGTCATAAAGAGTAAATCATTAGCTTAAAATAAATTTAATGCGTCATCTAATTCCGATTTTTAAAAACCTACTGGGTAGTCGGCAACCAAACGCGCCAAAAAGGTGTGCAGATGACAAAGATTTTATTTGTTTTAGAGAAAAATATTTCCAGATAGCTTATTGTTCATTACTTAACTAAAAAATCCAAATATATAATACATAAGAGCTTATACAAACAAGAACGAACAGAAGATCGTATGCAAATAATTTGTTTTAAAATATTGAATTAGAATAACGTTACTTGTCTTTATATTAGATTTTCGATATTTATATTTAAAATAACAGGTTTATTTTTCCTAATTTTATTTTCAGTTTGGTTTATTCAACTTTGCAGTGTGCTAAATATCCATTGACTACAGCACCGCCACCTACTACAACAGCTAAGCTAACTACAACTACCACCAAACCAACAACCACCACAACTCAACCCACTACCACCACAAAACCGACAACCACAACTACCAGAGCAACAACAACGACCACCAAACCAACAACCACGACCACCAAACCAACAACAACAACCACAAAACCAACAACTACAACCACCAAACCGACAACCACAACTACCAAACCAACAACAACGACCACCAAACCGACAACCACAACTACCAAACCAACAACAACGACCACCAAACCAACAACTACAACTACCAAACCAACAACCACTACTACTCCGACAACTACAACCACACCCACTACAACGACTACATCAACTACAACAACTACTACAACAACTACAACAACAACAACAGCGGCAGTTCGTAAGTCAAATTTTTTTCGTTTTTTATAGTATTAACAAGGTTAAATGTAGTTTACAATGTCTTTTTGTGGGTTGTGGAAAATCATGTAGCTCAGTTTTAACCCTACTCGAAAGTAGCAATTTCCAGATACATTCATCTCCGTTGACAATACAAGAATATATACTTTTAAATCTTATTAAACACTATGTTAATCATTAAAATTTAATTTAAAAAAAAAACACACCACTAAATTCAATTATAAAAGGGAAGATAACTAGAATAAATTTTAAACTTCCTTTCATGGCTTGGTTTAGTTATGGTTGACTGGTATCTTGTCTGAGAGTCAACCATTAGGTGGCAGATCTTTTTTTTTTGGGGGAGATTGCAAGCTACTGCTCGGGTTTTAAAACAAATATGTTTAGTAGAATGTGCTGTCGACTTCATCAAGAACGAACTACGAAAAATAAGAAAATAAAACAAACTTCTTTCTTTAATAAAAACATTGGTCGCTCATGAGATCTCTTGCATATTTTAGCAGAAAATGTTTTTATTAAGAAAGCAAGTTTGTTTTATGTTCTTATTATAAGAGCTTTTAAAAGCTTATTATTATAAAGGTTAATTATGTTTGTTTTATTTTATATTTCCGAGGCTTCGTGCCCTGCTTCTTTGTTTATTTATGTTATCTCTTTTTTTTTCAATTCTGCAAAAGCTTTGGCTCATATGTTGGCTAAAGATTTTAAATCTGATTTTGCATAACAGGGAAAACAACTCCTGTATTTCAAGTAAAAAGAACTCTTCTTTTTCCTTGAAATACATTTGAGGGGGTTAAAGTCATACCTATAATATTTACAACCCAATTTAAAATGTCGTCTCTTCCTGTTCTTGCAGCCCAGTGTGGACTCAGTGATATCGCCACCCGGACTGCATTGGTCAGCTCTTCCAGTCTTCTGGTTACTCCCCGCATTGTGGGCGGGACGATAGTCGGATCGTGCAACACGTATCCGTGGATGGTCAGACTTAATGTTGATAACGGAGACGTCTGCGGTGGTCTCATAATAGATGCAACCCACATCCTCACTGCAGCTCATTGTGCTTAGTATGTTCACTCGTACATATGTAGGCTAACTAGACAGTCATTCCATTACTTGAAAACAGTTCTTGCCTTATTTTCTGTTTAGTAGGAAAAAATTGACAATTGTTTTTGGTGAATGACAATGACTTTACAATTGTTTTCGTTTAGTAAAAATAAATTTACATATACAAAAACTAGATCAGATCGATGAAATTCAATCCTTAAAAAGGTATTGGGGCAGCGCTGCTTACTGTCAATCTGTTATGCGCTATACAACCCATTGACTCCGACTTCAGCCAGCTTTTCATTTTGGATTTGCTTCCATGGCTTTTGTCCATCCAAGAACCAACAAAGACAGCAATTTTTTTTTTTTTTTGAGTTTTCTTTTTCCCTGATGGGTTGCTGGCCCCAGCCATTGAGCCTCATCTGCCCGGGGGTTCGAACTCTGGACTTTTCGGTTTAGAAACCATAAGCGTTGATAATCCATAGTGACCGCATAATTCTCACTTCGACTATTGACGATAAAGATTGTTTTAAATAATTGACCACAGTGACCATATGATTCTCAACTTTATAATCGAAAACATTGACCATATAATTCCCACTTTTTTAATTGACTACTTGACCATAAAATTCCCACCTGTATATTAGAACACGGTGACCATATAATTCCCACTTTTATAATTGACCACAATGACCATATAGTTCCTACCTTTATAATTGACCACAGTCAGAAGACCAGCATCCAGGCCACAGTTGGAGAGTACGATTCGTCTGTCGTGGAGGGAACAGAACAAGTCTTTGTTGTCAACATGGCGACTGGCGTCTCCGTCCATCCAGCCTTTGACTACATTGCTAAAAGTAAGACGAAAATATTGGGTACCTTTTGGCTTTTTAACTACGTAATCTGTGTGCGGGTGTGTAAAATTAGTAAAATACATCAGCCGGTGTGTTTTAATAGTATACAAGAGGACCCTTGTTATCCGTTGGATAAAGTTCTTTTGACAGAAATCAGAAAGAAATGTAACCGGATTTTAAAATGTTTAAGGTCATGATGATTTTTACTCCCAGTTATATTTATAGTTACAAAATTGTTCATGTTTTACGTTTTTTATTCAGCCAATGATATTGCCGTTCTGACTTTGGACACGCCTATAGACCTAACTAGAATGTGCGCCAAACCCATTTGTATGGACCCGACGTATCAAGTTGTATCGGGACAGAAATGTCAAATAGCTGGTTGGGGTGTTACAAATGGTGACGTTCTGTGTTTATCATTGTCAAAAAACTCCAACGATCTTATATTTAGATAATGAAAGAATAAATCGGAAAAAATTAGTGTTAACATAAAAAATACATATGTTTAATTTCATGGCTGCTTTAACCGTATGGTGTTGCTGCTTTTTGTTTTAGAGAATTCCTTCACGCCATCCACAACACTGCAGACAGCATCAATAACAACCTACCAAGGTGAAGATTGCTACGCCCAATTTCCTTTAGCTGGCCAGTACTACGTCAGTGACCCCACTAGGCAGCTTTGTGCTGGTGAAACCACAGGAGGAGTTGATGCTTGTTCGGTACGTCAGTCTGAAAACAATTTTGTTTAAATTTCATTTAATGGATACAGATATGATTGGCCGATGGTAAACAATTGATTGGGTCAATTATATCAATGCCAGCAATAAACTTAATCCTATCGAGCAAATTTTAAGACAGGAAATGTCTTAATGCTATCCATTTTCAATGACGGTGCGCAAAGTGAATTACGATGATTTTTTTAAACAAATTACTAGCCGTCCCGGCCAGGCCCTGCACTGGCACCTCTGAAAAACTATCTGCAAAGGGCCATGACTTGTGTGTTTAGTAATCAGCATATACCCGGCATTGGCCACCCTAACCACAACCAACCAAAACAAAAAAATAAGCGCAAACATAACACAAACACAAACGAAAACACAAAATCAAACGCAAAGACAAACCCAATCACAAACACAAAGAAAACACAAACCTAACGCAAACAAAAAAGCAAACGAAATCAAACACAAATCCAAACGCAAACACAAACCCAACCACAACCGAACAAAACCAAAACACAAAAAACAACGCAAACATAACACAAACACAAATATAAATATGTCAAGGGACATAATGAGCGCTAAAGTACTAAATACAAATACCTTTCAGACACAATTAGAAATTTTATAACTACGTTGATACACTTTTAAAAAAAATATTTTATGTAATGTTCATAATTAAAAATTATTATTCAAAGTATGTTAAATCAAAACTGCTTTTAAAAACTTTCAATATTAATTTTTTAACTCATAAATTTAGACCATGAGCACTTTAAAAATCTAACACTTGAATTCATGGAAGTATCGTTTTTTCTAATATTCGTTTGTAATCCACGACATACAAACATACAGATTTGAATTTTATATATTAGATTAAAAAATTTAAAGTACTGAAAAAAATCGCATCAAAAACGTTTTACTAACACGCTTTTATGTAATAATGCATTGAAAAGGAGAAAATAAATAATTTTCTTTAAATATATAATAATACACGACTATTTAAATAACTATAAATAAAAGCGTGGGTCTCTATATTATCTGTTGGAAGAGACCCACGCTTTTCATTACTTATTTTAATGGTATTGTATAATTATAAAATCAAAGAAAATTTTTTTTTTCTTTTTATTTAGTGCATTACTACTTAAAAGCTTCCTATTAAAATGTTATTATGCATTTTATAGATTCACATTTTCTTTTTAGAAAAGTACTAGCCGTCCCGACCAGGCCCTGCTCTGGCTTCTGTGAAAAACCTTTCTGTTAAAGACCATTACCTGTGTGTTTAGTAATCATCATAAACCCGGCATTGCCCACCCAAACCACAACCAACCAAAACCAAAACAACAAAACGCAAACATAACGCTAGCACAATTACAAATACAGACAAAAACAAAAACCTAACAACAAACCCAACTACAACCACAAACACCAATACAAACAAAGAAAAAACAAACAAAAAAGCAAACGAAAACAAAAACCAAACAACAAACCCAACCACAACCACAAACACCAATACCAACCAATAACAACACAAAAAAACGAAAAAGCAAACGAAAACAAACCAAATCCAAACGCAAAACCACCCAAAAACACAAATACAAACCCAAAGAAAAAAACACAAAAAAAAAAACGAAAAAAGAAAGAACAAAAATGAACCAAATCAAACCGCAACCACTAACGCAAACCCAACCTAAACACAAAGAAAACACTAACGCGAACATAAACGCAAAGTGCTCACAGCGGAATCGCCTGTTTTAGCTTAATAAACGACTATAGTACCCCAACTTATTCATAGTCTTTTGCACTCACTTAAACGAACGCGCCTGTTTCAATTTAATGAACAATTATAATACTCCAAGCTTATCCGTAAAATACCTACAAGATTTGCACTTGATCAATCCCCGCTAATTATGTAATTTTTTTTCCCAACACCAAAACAAAGTAATAAAAAGTACATTCTTTTCCACTAATGCAATGGTTTTATAAAGGGAAGTAATTGTGTTTTCCTAATTTATCAAAGGGAAGTAAGTGCTATAGGACTAAATAAAGACATAATTAGAATTTTTGTAAAAGATATTTTTTTAAAACTTGTGTTTAATGAACATGCCGAAAATTAATACTTTGTTTGATAAATGAAAATTATTTCCCATAACTTTCAATATTAATTTTTTAACTCATAAATTTAGACCATAAGGACTTTAATTATCTAACACTTAAATCCATGGAAGATCCACGACAAACATATGTGTTACATACAGAATTGAGCTTTATATTAAGATATAACAAATAAATAACAATGGGATAGACAACCAATTCTCACATTTCTTTCTGAATCTGTCAACAACAAAATAAATTTTTCTCTCAGGGAGATTCAGGAGGACCCCTCTTCTGTCTGAACTCTGCGACCAACACTTGGGTGGCTGCTGGGGTCGTCTCCTACGGTGAGGGGTGCGCTAGGGCCAACTACCCCGGCGTGTATGCTGACGTCAACGCCTACTACGACTGGATCCAACAGCAACTGTAGAGGCAGACAAGAGGCAGACAAGAGGCAGACAAGAGGCAGACAACTCTGGAGTTTACTGCCAACTTATGATGACATAAGAGACTAGCGAATAGAGTTTTAAAAATTTTTTTCAATATGTTTACTTACTCGTTGTAATTGTGCACAACAATTGAAATCGATATATATTTTAACATATCCGTCAGTCAGAAAAACTTAATTTAGCAATTTTTTCTTTATGTCTTTATGTCTCTCTCTCTCTCTCTCTCTCTTTCTCTCTCTCTCTCTCTCTCTCTCTCTCTCTCTCTCTCTCTCTCTCTGTTTTTATGCTTTGTGAGAGGTTTGAGCTGTCAGATTCAATACCATATTCGAATTCCAATACCAAATGAAGATATTGTAACCGTGGGCAAGCATTATATAATTATTCATGCAAACAACACAGGTGACGACTAATTAACAAGATGGATATAGGTTTCCTCTTCTTATGTTTATTCTGGTACTGGACGCATGTACACCCTTTCACCAAGACGAAAATAATCAGACTAACTCACACACAATACACAGCCACCAGTCTCTACTTAAAACGTCACTATCGCACTATACGCGTCACACCATTCATTCGTTCAACATAGGTGCGCACCAATATTTACTCGTGCCAATCTTGACTTGGAACATGCGTAATAACGCTGTCTTTGAACCTTATAACTCGAGTACTTATTCAGTTACATTGTTTTTGTATAAACATTTGAGCGATTTCCCTAATGGAAGTGGTACGTAATCTACTTTCGGCTTCTCGAAAGCCTATAACTTGAAAACTGTTTACGTTAAATGAACAAAATTTCACATATAAGGATTATATTGAATGTGCAGTTTTAATCAACGTTTGAAGGATTTTGGGTAAACGGAAGTGATACTTTATTTCCGCGGGAACAAGATACCTTGAGTACTGAATCATTAATGTAGAAGACATTTTTTTAATGAAAGTTTACTTGGATTACTTTTAATAATTTTTTTAATGAAAGTTTACTTGGATTACTTTTAATAATTGAGGGACCTCCGATATCACGAATTGTTACTTTACTTGCTTTCTGGTTTCTTAAATACCGATAACTTGAGTTTTCAGTTAGGAAGACGAAATTTCATATTTTTCATATTTTTAGTTAGAAAACTACACATAACAAAAACTTAAATGTGTCTCACCCATACTTTATCTAACGATTACACTAAGCCCGTACCGATAAATTAACATGGTAGGCTTTGTCGCTCAAATACATTGACATCCATCAAAAGTTAAAATTGTCTTTGATCCCCCCTCCCCTCCCCACCCCACCCGCCCAGATGGATCTAAGTAGTATCACTAAATGTTAACGACTACATGTATTCTAGACGTGAGGAAACAAGGGAGTCAATCATTGCTATTTATGTAACATCTATACCCTAAAGTTATACCAATGAATCCATCCTCGATGTCGTCGGTGTCACCCAATGTTTAAAAAATAATCACAGCTCTAGTGTTGGCGATCTGGCTGATTTCAGGTTTTATCAAACTTAACTGAATATATTGGACTGTATCTGACATATTTTGTTCTGTTGTGATATTTTCTACACAGTTGATATGCTGTCTTGTGTTGCACTGTATCGGAACATATTGACAGAAGGTGAATTGGTGTCTGCTTCATAGTGGTGTTTCTCATGACAGTGGGAAGATGTAAGGTTGGAGGGGTGTTGAAGGTGTTGAGGTTGAACTGGCGATGTAGGAAATGTTGATGTTTCATCACCGTTTTGTGTAGCTGATAAAGATTCTAAGAACGGTAGAAATGGCCGGTTTACTGATTTGTATTGTAAGGTTTTGTATTTTGCGGTTATGTTATTTGTCTTTGGTGTTTAAGTACATTAGGTTTGTGTTGCGTTGTTAAGTTGTTTTTATGTGTATTTGTTGTATTGTGTTGTTGTGTATTGTACAGTATTGTATTGATTTGCTTTATTTTTTGTATTGTGTTGCATTATAGTGTGTTAATTTATTTAAGTCCGTTTATCGATAGGTGATATAAAAGGGCAGTGAGGAGGTGTGAGTCAAATATGCTAGCGTCATTGCCCTGGGGTAGGCAAGGTGACGATAGACGTAGTGAACCCTGTGGTGTTTGTGGCCTGAGCACAACAACTCAGACGGATGCATCGTGTGTGTACTTACTTCCTCATTTATCTAATGATAAAACAATTTGAAAAAAAACGTAAGGTCCAGTCATTCATATTGATGTTAAAGCTAACAGTTATATCAGCTAAACAATCGGTCTAACGTAGGACTCTAAGCTTACGACATCTCATTTTTACTTTCTCGTATACGAAGTATAGAGAAATTCTTGTAATCGTACAAAAAAAAATCGAGATTTTTTTTGCTAATCTCGACGTTTTACACATCTCTGAGTCAGAAAAACATAGTTTTGCAATCTCGTCCGTATGTTTGTGTGTGTATGTGTGTCTGTGAACAGCTAGGTTGATGAAAATTCATATATAAGTATTATATCAAATTTGTAGTTCTGTATCAGCTTTTCAGCGATTTCCGGAAACCGGAAGTGGAACTTATTCTGCTTTCAATTTTTCAAAAGCATATAGCTTGAGAACTGTTTCAGATAGATTAATGAAATTTTACATGAAAGTAAAAGATCTAATTGTCTGCCTTCTTTTAGATTTTGAGTTATTTCCGTTTGCCGGAAGTAGTAACTTGACCTCGGATTGTGAAAGGATAGTGTTGACAGCATTACGCGTAGTCGCATTTACTTTCCCTGCCGTAAGTTGTAATATTGGATTTTCTTTCTTTGTTTACACAGTGGATTGGCGATATGTTTATTAAGTGTATGCCTATTTTGTAATCGTCGGACAATTTGTTTAATATGGCTATGTTACTCACAAACAACAATTACATCAAACACCATAATGCGACATGTAACTGAAAAAAACATTGTAGCTAAAAAAAAACAGAACACAGACTAGTATTTATGGCACGTTTATTATTAGGTAACGTCAGATGGATCTGAGTAGTATCACTAAATGTTAACGACTACTTGTATTCTAGACGTCACGAAACAAGCACCAAAACATTGACGCTTCTTTAACGTCTATACCCTGAAGGCATACCAGTGGATCCACCCTCCTCTGATATCGGTGTCACCCCATGTTTCAAAAACAATCTCAGCGCCGGTGTTGGTGATCTCGCCTGTATGGACCCAAAACCTTGTGTCGCCGGTTTTAACTAAATCGAGAACTTCTAATGTGACAATAACAGCTGGTGGGGTACTGAAAGGGGTTGTGAAGTTGACCTTATTGACAACTTTCTTAAACCCACCTGCCGCAGCCGTGTAGGTGGATGACTGTAGAAAGCTGACTCTACCTTGTTCAATACGAGGGGTCACTTTTTGAGAAAACTCCTGCGCACATGTTGCAACTGTAAAAGAGAATCCTGTTTTGTAGTGTTTGATGTTGTTATGATTCAGATAGAGAGAATCGTTTGTATAAAATTTTAGATATCACAGTGAGTTTAACTATTTGGGTTCAATAACCGTTCGCCTTGGTAGTCTACAGAAATACAGACAAAATTAAGATTTTCCTACTCAGGGGGGTGTAAAACGTCATGATTGGTCAAAATATCTATCTTTATTTTTTTTTTGCAAAATAGGACTGAAAAATCTATGTTATCATACTAATTTTTTTAAAAAATCTTTTAAAAATATGGCAAGCGATAAAATTATAGTTACAATTTAAAACGTAAAGCTGTTTGGGAACCATCGTTTACACTCATTTTTATATTTTTGTGTAGAAGATAAGCCGTTGAAAATAATTTTAGAATTATATTATCAATGTGAATATTTTTTAAAAACAACCCCCTCAACCTCTCCTTGAAGTCAGAATAGCCAGGGAGGGTAACTCAATGAAAGTCAGAACAATCGTTTTCAAAGACAAAATACACAATAGTGATCTATGTTGTATAGCGCAGTTTTGTTTTTATATTAAATAATATAACATCCCTTATTACCACAACACCCTGACTCTACTAATCCACATAAAAATAAAAGTGTTTGCTAAATTACTATTATATAACTAATAATTATTGGTTTAACTCTTTCTAGCCTATATAAAACCAGAAATTCATTCATTTTCTACTTTTTAGTGCATTATTACATAAAAGCTAGTTATTAAAACGTTTTTTTTATGAAAAAAATTCAGTACTTTAAATTTTAAAAATTTACAATGCATTGTCTTTAAGCTTTGACCCAAGCGCAAACATTGTAACCGAATATGTCAATTAGAAGAGCCCGAAATTTAGCTCGAGCGTTTCGATCTTTGACGACAGATAGACAGACTTGTAAAAAGAAAAAATTACTTACAGTCAACGCCATTTACAGCTGAGGCTAAACTCAGGAGTAGAACAGCGGGAATCAGATACATTTTGTGAGTTGCTGAAACAGATATAGCATAACGCAAATGTAAGAAAAATGTCTTTTAGGGCCTAATATGTAATTAATTTTTAAAAAGTGTACATATGTCCCGGGCGCCGACCTTCAGGGGCGCCAAAATGGGTTGGAAAAACAAATTAAAATCTCACTTAAGCTGCAGTTTTGCATCATAAATATAAAACATATAGGGGGAGCAAAGTGAACGTTTGAGAAGGGGGGTACACATTTAAAGTTTGAGGGGGGGGGTGCAAATTGAAAATTGAAAATTAATTCCCGATGGGGGCGACAAACTAAAGGGTCGCTACGCCTCTGATTGTGTTGTCTCATCTACACTAAATTGGCGTTATTTTTTATTCTAGTGGGTTAATAATTATTATTTTAAAATATTATAAATTTATACACACATATGACATATAAGAGACTTAAAAAATAATTCATTTGCCATAAAAGAAGTGCATTTTAAAAGGTAAAATATTAGAGAGGAAAAAAAAAACCCAAATCTGATTGTTAAAAAAATTCTCACTTCATGCACCAACATTTTTTCTTTCAAAAAACCTGATCTATTGCTTCTGAACAGTGTTATAGAAATAGTAGTTTTAGCATAATTTGCTAAGTCAATAAGTAAAGGGAAATATTTAAAAAACAACTGATACGTTATTGTCGATATCTCTTACAGTGAAACGATAAAAAAGACTGACGATTAAAATATAGAATTTACATGTAAAACAATATGTAAGATCTTTGAGTAAAAGTTTTCTAATAAAAAATTAAATGAGTCGAGAATAATTGGAACTTTTGGAAACGACATAAACATAAAGTGTGCCGCCATAAAATTAGTCACAGTATATCAGCACCGTGATATGTCGTGATGTGTTTCAGAACAATAATAAGAATAATTATTTTTATAATAATTATTTAAATGTCACAAAATTGTATCAAAACAACAACAAAATTATATCGTTGCAGGTATACATTTGATCGGAGCAACCAAACATTTAATCGTGGCTACCAAAAATGTAATCGTAGCAACCAAACATTTAACAGGAGCAACCAAACAAACAAAAATTTAATCGGAACTACCAAAAATATGATGGTCTTAGTAACTTACCTTTAAAAAATCTGTAAATGTTTCACCACAAGTTTGATTTCAAATCAAGTGAGATGTACAGTCATATAGAAAATACTTGTGTTTTATATACTTTAAATACGTGCATTTTTTTAAATATTTCGGCTAATTACAGTTTTATTTGCAAAATTTCCCTGATGTTGATTGAAATATTTTTTTGTGTGCCAGGAGCAGCCCACGCATTTTTTGTGCTTAGTTTTTCTTTGTGTGAGAAATGCACCAGCTGCGGATGACAAAAGGATTAATTATCTAGTTATCTTTTTTATTGAGGCGCAACAACTTCAAAGCTATATTTTAAAATATTTTTAACGCCCACCATTTTTAAAATAAGCAAATTCTAAAATCCACACTGTTACTTTACATTTCTTAGTGGTGAGTCATACACGTTTTACACGCTTCGATAACATGGTTACATCCCGGTGTTACAAAACAAGAAAGTAGTAAGAAAGCATCAGCAAACAAACAAACGAAAGCGCAAACAAAAGAGCAAACAAAAGAACAAATAGAACTGCAAATACGTGAACAAACAAAAAAAAACAAACAAACAAACCAATGATTCTAATCAGGCTGTTACAAGTAGACTAAAATATGTTGCTTATTGTGTTAAGGCAAAAATCAATGAACAAAAGCGGGCTTGTGTGGGTAGATGGTCCTAAAGCCAACGCAACAAATCGTTACAAATATATGAAACTCCAAAAGGTTTTAGCTTTTATTTTCTCTCTTTAAAATTGGTTGACCAGGTGCGTAGCCAGGTTCTCTGCGGCAAATCGATCAATAAAATAGCATGCGTTGTTTTTTTTTTTAAAGAGCATATTACGCTCTTCGCGTCTGTTTATTTACACATCCTATAAGTTCTCGACAACTTCCCAAAGTTTCATGGCGATCGGATAAAAGGTGTAGCAATGCATAAAAGACAAACAAACAGAAAACACACATACATTACTTTAAATATATATATATATATATATATATATATATATATATATATATATATATATATATATATATATATATATATATATGAACATATTATTTGGCATTTATTCTTGAAATGTGTTTGTTGATATAATTCAACTAAACTTTTAACGAAAACAACTTTTGTGCAATAATTTAATTATGTAATTTATGAAATGAAAAAAAAAACCTCTTAAAATCATTGAAAATGAAGTTATTGTGTGCACTGTGAGTTAATAGAAATATTTTACGTTCCCTATTTTTACTTTCTCGTATATACGTAGTATAGAGAAAGTATTGTAATCGTGCAAAAAAAAAAAAATCGAGATTTTTACAAATCTCGACGTTTTACACCTCACTGATACGGAAAAACATAATTTTGCAATCTTGTCCGTATGTCTGTGTGTGTGTGTGTGTCTGTCCGTGTGTGTGTCTGTGTGTAAACACGATAACTTGAGTACCGTTACAGCTAGGTTGATGAAATTTCATATATAAGTATTTTATCAAAATCGTAGATCCGTATCAACTTTTGAGCAATTTCCGATAACCGGAAGTGGTACTTTTCCTACTTTGAATTTTTCAAAAGCCTATAACTTGAGTACTATTTCAGATAGATAAATGAAATTTCACATGTAAGTAAAAGATCTAATTCTCTACCTTCTGTTAAATTTTGAGTAATTTCCGTTGACTGGAAGTAGTAATTTACGCTACTTCCGATTTCTCAAAAAACTAATGTAAATTTTTAAAGTACTAATAATATTGCGCACTATTATACGCGTTTTTATTCGGCGTTTGCTTGGTGCGCAATGTTTTTTTTTATGAGATTCTATTCTATTTTTAAAAGTTTAAGTATTTAAAATGGATTAAAAATCATAACTATATCCCCAGTTGCCATCCCCTGTTGTTTTATATAAGAATATTCGAGAAAGTTTAGGGGAGATCACTACCGGTTTATTTTAAAAATAATTTTAATGCTGGTGTGCAGAGATCAAAAGATAATTTATTGGTTTGGTCATTATCACATCATCTGCTGGCCAGGACTGACAAAAAGATATAATTATTTCAACAAACATCAGAAGAATCCTCAGATCAAACTATAATTTGCAGTTCCTATTGTTAAGTTATTCTTTTATTTTATACTGCTGGACCCCAGCAATCACAAGATAATTAGTATAGTTTGTCCTATCTGACGTGATCTGCTGGGCGGACTGACAAAAAATAAAGTAATTATTCAAGCAACTTCAAACATAATCCACAAATCAAACTGTAATTAGCAGCCCCTACGGTTAAGGTGTTCTCGAATACATCTATCCATATTAACATAGTCAAAGTGTATAAAACGACGAGTATTTCCTATGTAAGTGTGCATCTTAACTGACTACCAGTGAAAGTTAAAGATTTCGTTTTGGTATGTTTTTTTTGTTTCTTCGTGTTTTATATATATATATATATATATATATATATATATATATATATATATATATATATATATATATATATATATATATATATATATATATATATATATAAAACTTATATATGTGTATATTTGTGTTATTACAGGCATAATGTTACTCCCATTTAGTTAATCAAACAAAAATGTTTTGAACATGAAAGTTATACATATAGCTGTTACGATCAAATACATGAAGTTCTAAATGTTTTCTGTTACACTCTTTGTGCGACGTGTCACAGTGCTCATATACTGTCCCGTGTCCTGCCAGCGTCCCACATATGCTACCATTTGTTAACAACTGTTTGAATAGTAAATTATGTTTTATTGTATTTGGAAATGGTTAGACTGTTGTATTTTTTCCTCAACCCCCTCTCCCCCTTGATACACGTCGTCGCCAAATTTCAAACCCAACATTAATTGATATTTCTTTTTTATTCAAAACAATTTCTTAAAATTCTGTCTTATCCGACGATTTTTACTTACCCCTCACCTAACCCACCCCACCGTCACAAACAACAGAATTACACCAATAAAACATCAATTTCCTTCTGAAATATTTTCCGAGAAGGGTCAACATTAGTTTATTAATCAATTTCTACTACAATTTACAAATCTTTTAAAAGTGATAAATATCGGCTAAAATTCCGTTTCTAGCTTTAACTTTAAAAAAGCATAAGGTGCCGCCATACTTTGTTAATCCCCTCCCCTCTCCGCCGCGTTACACGTCGTCACAAAATTCCAAACGCTACATAAACCGTACCCCCCCCCCCACCTCTACCTAATGAGTATGTCTTCGTTCAAGGACGATTCCGAAGCATTTAATACTTTAGTAGTAAGTATAACCACTCGCAGAAAAAACTAACTAGATCCACAAATTTTATTTGAAAAAAAAACAAATATAATGTATTTGTATGTTTTAATACAATTATATTTACAACTTACTTTCTATTAAAAAAATTGTAAACAGTATTTATTTCATCAATTACAATTATGGCGTAAAAAGACATTCCACTTGACATTATCTTATTCAACAATATATTTTTCAGCAAGTAACACAATGTATTTGATTCTTGCTGTTCTTCTTCTGAGTTTAAGCTCAGTGGTAAAAAGCGCTGACTGTAAGTATTTTGGTTTAATAAATTTATGCTTGACTAGGCCTATATTTATATGCTACTACATATTTTGTACTAGACGATAACAAAATATATGGCTAGAAGCAAAAACTATTTTTAACACCTCAAATGGTCCTTAGTAGGACATATGTAATTTTTTGGTGTAATCCCTAATACTGACCACTAATGTCCTGATATTGAAATGGTTAAAAATAGTTCTATCACTACTCTCTCGTATACGAAGTAAATTATAGAGAAAATATTGTAATCGTGCACAAAAACAAAAAAGATATATTGAGTAATCTCCCTGAGTAGGAAAATCTTAATTTTGTCTGTATTTCTGTAGACTACCAAAGCAAACGGTTATTGAACCCAAATAGTTACTCACTGTAATATCTAAACTTTTATACTAACGATTCTCTCTATCTGAATCATAACAATATCAAACACTACAAAACAGGATTTTCTTTTACAGTTGCAACATGTGCTCAGGAGTTTTCTCAAAAAGTGACCCCTCGTATTGAACAAGGTAGAGTCAGCTTTCTACAGTCATCCACCTACACGGCTGCGGCAGGTGGGTTTAAGAAAGTTGTCAATAAGGTCAACTTCACAACCCCTTTCAGTACCCCACCAGCTGTTATTGTCACATTAGAAGTTCTCGATTTAGTTAAAACCGGCGACACAAGGTTTTGGGTCCATACAGGCGAGATCACCAACACCGGCGCTGAGATTGTTTTTGAAACATGGGGTGACACCGATATCAGAGGAGGGTGGATCCACTGGTATGCCTTCAATGTATAGACGTTAAAGAAGCGTCAATGTTTTGGTACTTGTTTCGTGACGTCTAGAATACAAGTAGTCGTTAACATTTAGTGTTACTACTCAGATCCATCTGACGTTACCTAATAATAAACGTGCCATAAATACTAGTCTGTGTTCTGTGTTGTTTTTTTTTTTTGCTATAATGTTTTCAGTTACGTCACATTATGGTTTTTGCCGAAAAAGAATAAAAAGGAGAAAATCTTAACCTGGGTTCCTTTATATGGATAAAGTGTTGCCTTAAGAGTGTAACGAGTAAGTAAATTTAAATGACGGAAAGAGTTTCGCATTAACTGTATAGAGAGTAAGTGAACCAAGATACGAAGAATTTGACATACGAGCAATGTTACTGACCGAATCAAATTCGTATCTCGAGCTAACAGGTATGTGTTGAGAGTTTCAATGTATTATCATTGTGAAAGTTTTAAAAGAGCAGCTGTTTCTAAACAATTTCTAAACGATTGTCATAGTCACGGTCAGTGATCTGAATATACTAGACAACTATTTGCGAGGGTAGACTCTCACAAACAGTGGCGTAAAAACCATGTAACCAAGGTGTTCAAAGTCCTAAAATAATAAATACGTTTTTGATTGACTCGTTTATAATACACCACCAGTAAGTAAATAACATCAGGCTAGCCCACTTCTTTCAGATATGCATGAATTGCACTGATCAGAAACAGAATCATAATACAAAGTGACATATCTATTATGATTCTGCGCCTTCCATTGGATTCCATTCAAGTAGCACTTTAACCCTAAC